CGAACACTGTCCCTGTCTCCATAAATTTTTGTGCCATGCACGAATTGATGGACGTGACGATGAATCTCTTCCATACTTAGTTCTGAAGTTTCGCTGAGTCTGCAGATCCGATTTGGTTTCAATAAACCATGATACGCACTGTGCTTTCTCTTGAGGTGTAACCATTTTGTAAGGGGTTCATTTAACAGTATCCTATTCATCAACAGGGTACCTGAAATTTAATGTGATAAAAACCTTGATAACCACTGAGTACATGGAACAAAATCTGACGAAGATATCTCATCAATTGCCTTTGTAATAAATTTTTGAAATTGTAAAGAGACTTTATGAACACCCAAATGGAATTATGTTAAAGATATCGTGTATCGAACAAAAGCACGAGACATCACTAATCTAAAGCAGAGGATCACCGATGCCACTGCCACCATTGATGAGGCTATGCTACAGCGAACATGGCAAGAAATCGAGTACCGTCTTGATTTGCTTCGTGCAACTAATGGTCCCCATATAGAGGTGTATTGAATGAAGCAAAAAGAAACTTAAATATACACGTCTAATTTTGTAATAATTTCCACTTATCTGTCTTTCCGTTTGCCTTTGTAATAAATTTTTGAAACTGTAAAGAGACTTTACGGACATCCTATGTATAATATACAGAGAAGAGCATCAGTTTGAGATTTCTCTTCACGAAGCGATCGTTTCGTGACGTCCTCCTTCGCGAGAGCGTTCTTTCGTTCAGAAGGTGAACGCGCGCGTGGCGATTTGTATTCCATTCGCGAGGCTCCGGCTCCCTTGACTCGGTGCTAATAAATATTCATTGGTGTACTTGAAACTGACCTCCGAGAATTGAACGGCATTATCGTGTGTACTCTTCGGAGATTAACCACGATTATATTCGCTGCTCGCTGTGTGTACAGACGCAGCGCTTTATTAAACCGCTTGGACAATATCTGCGGGTAAGTGGCGCAGTTCGTTGCGTGCCACGATGCTAATGGTAATAATAACAACGATAACGTTACGTTGGATAAGGGCTTCGTGTTAATTGTCGCTTGATGGGATTCGATGGTTAACGCGTTCGTTGCTGCGAATGCTCGCGCGGGACTGCCATCGGGAAGTCGTACGAACGATTTTCGAATAATTGCAAACTCGTTTCAGCGAGCGAACGAGAATCGGCCATGTTCGATCGGCCGAGGGATCGCGTGTCTTCTAATACGTGGGATTCAAAGTTCTTGGTAATTTTCTTAGATAAAATTGTACACTTTGTGGAAAAAAAAAAGAGAAAACAACGTGTATATTTTATTCGGCGTTGTTCGATTAGTGACACGAAGCTAAAAATTTGAACCGAGATGTGCAACCGAACTAGGAGAACATGGCCCTTTTATCGAAATATTGTTTGTAGTGTCAGAATTTCATCTGAGACAAATTTGTTTAATTTTATGTTGAATTGCAGCGAGAGAAGTATTAGTATTAAAGTATCAGTTTCTGAAAAAAGTGATAGCTACCCGAACACGAACGTGTAATTTTTCGTCATGAATTTTCAAGTTTGTTTCTGAAAAAAAGTGATAGCTACCCGAACACGAATGTGTAATTTTTCGTCGATGAATTTTCAAGTTTGTTTAATTTCATCTTAAATTGCACAAAAGAAGCTAGCACTTGTCAAAATTAGATTTTTAAAGTATCAATTTCTGAAAAGATGACAGCCATCTGAATTTGAATTTTCAACTCCTTTCGTTAATTAAACAAAAGAGAAATGAAACAATGGACAAATGAAAATTCCACTTCGTCAAGTACTAGATAATAGTCTTGAGAATGTCACCACAAACTTTTATTCAAATTGATTCGGCAGTTTTTCAGATATTTCCTTAAAGTTTCAGGTATCTGTTATCATTGGATGCATTGGAAAAAACTCTGAGTTGATTATTTTTTTAGAATATTTTTTTAAAGATTCGCAATAACAGAATGTACAATTTCTCAAAAATCGATTTTCCCGACATTGTCAAAACGAATATTGTTGAAGCACGGAATTTTTATTAGCATTAAAAAGTACGTAGTTTCTAAAATACGTACTTTAATCGATACTTCATCAAAATACTGAGTATTTAAACCACTACTGTCCACGATATTTTATTATTAAAAATATTTAGTCACGCTGTTGAAATCGAGTCGAGTTTTTCTAAGAAATAATTTCTTGGTTTTCCACGTTTTAGCTAGCAGACAGTTTGTCAAAATTCCGGTCGACCGTTAAACACACTCTAGGCAAACGAAACTTTCGATTCCGATTATTTAAAATTATTCAAATTACTAGTTAAAATTCAAATTACTTAGAACCTATTATAAATATCGCTAGTTACGGTGAAAAGAAGACAATTAAATAAGATAGGAAATTAAACAAAAGAAAAAAAAAATAGACAAAAATTAGAAGAAAATAGATAGAAAGAATTGAAAAGATTTAAATAAGACGCTCACTCGTGGTTGTTACGTAAGAAGGGCCGAGGACGAAATTGGAAACAGCTGGCAGACAAGATGTTAGATGTAATCGTTGACGGCAGATACTTATCCGCTATTGCGATCAGAGTGCGAGATAACCCGGCGAAGGAATCGTTTCTTGCGAAACGAGCTGTCGATAGCAGCGACCCGAGGTCGTTATGCCCGTGTTTCCTTGTCGCTGGATCTCCCTTCATCCAGGTTGGCTACCCTTTCTTGTCCTTCGTTTGTCGATTACCTTCGGACAATCGCCATCGTGTCGTCGCGAAACGGTCGACACTGTTCTGAAAAAGTTGCCCGAAAGAGTTGCTCGAAATCTTTCGGGGACCGAGTAATTTAATCGTCCGCTCTTCACCGCGGGATCGTGGATCTGGTTAAACTTTTAATTAACGTCGAGAGAGCGAAGAAGAAGAAGAAAAAAAAACAAATATTGCAAATGTGCTCGAACGTTGTGTCGTTCTGCGTTAAGTTATCTCACGGCAGAGAATTGTTTCACCGATTCGCGAGAAACCTGGAATTTGTAACTCGTGAACAAAAAAAGAAGGAAGAAAGGGCAAGAACCGGAGAATTTTCAGACTAGTGAGAGATCTATCTAGTGATGAAGATACAATTGCACTTGAAAGAAAAATTTCGAGACTTCTCCCTTTCTCTTTCTTTTATTAACGCTTCTTTTATTAACTCTCAAAGTGACTAATTTATAATTTCTATTATAGATGTCTTATAGACGCAATAACACTGTATTTTTAAAAATATAAATAATTTTTTGCGAAATATAAATAATATATATACATATATAAATAATAATAATATATAACATAATATAATATAATAATATATAAATAATATATATATATATAATAATAATATATAAATGAAAACTTGTATACATTGTGTTATTAAAAAGTCTCTTTATTTTTTTGACTTTGATGTCTCTGATGGAAATTTTATGTTTCGATCGTCGGTAGTTCCATTGTGTTAATGTCCAAAGTATATATAAATTGACATTTATCTTTCAAACTTCGGTATCGTCGTCCAGATACGACATGAGTAACAAATCTGTTAATCGCGTCAATTGTCATAAGTAAACGGTTGAGAAAGGACTGTGATCGAGGGAACACAGGATACAGATAAAGAGGCAATTTGTTGGGGAGGAGGGAAGTGGGGGGAATAACACATGGCGATAAGGCGAGCATCCAGAATCGCCAAGGACGATTTCGAGAGATGGAAAGATTAAGAAGTAGAACGGTGGTCGAGGACAGTTTTGCAAACGAACCGGTCTAGATGGATTCCAAGGGTAAACCCGGTTCCACGCGGAAGTGAAAATCGGGACGCGTGTGTACCGATCGCAGTTAAGATACCGGCGTTGCTCCTTCGTCGGCGAGTTCGTTGATCGTTTGGAAAAGGAATCGGTTCTTTGCACGCGTGCAAGGTTTCCCAGCCCTCGCTGTGACTTTTGCATTAGATTTTTTTTTTTTCTTTTCTTCCGTGAAAGTAGTAGCAAGGCACGTGTGTTTGATTTGAGACTCGATATTTTTGATAGGCTGATTTTTGCGAAGATACATATACGTATTTATTTACTCGCTGATCAGTTGAATTTTTCGTAAGATCCTCAGTTTCATTTCATACTCTTAAAAGTGACGAGCGAATAGCAGTCACTACTTCTAAATTCTTCATTTTAATTTCTATCGACTGATTTCTAGATCTGTCGATGATCCAAGTGTGAAATTTATAGCAGAGAAATGTGAAATGGAAGGTACAGGCTTCAAAAAATCATTCGAGCCTCCGAAAATACACTATTGTAAATATATAAAAAATTCTAAGTTGGTCATTTTTACCATTTTGGTAGTACTAGTGTTAATTCCTAAATAATTTTGCTAATCGAATATTCCTTCTACTCGGTTGCAATATACTCTCATGTTGTTTACATTTTAATAAGATAGATCGGGGAGTGATGGCCTCTTTTCTTTAAGAGAATTATTACATTTTAAATACAATCTAAAAAATATATACTAGTATATTAAGGACAGACCTTTCTTTCCACATATTTTCCTTAATAGAACATCAAAATATAAGAGTAAACTAATTTTATTAATTTGAAATTAAATTTAAACTCGAACACGATCTTTTCGTTATGTCTTTTAAAAATTATTTCTTTCAAATGTTGACCGCCAGAACCTTCACAGATTTATGATATATGATGAAAAAAAAATTACGAATTTATTTTAGTATATATATATATATATATATGTAAGTGAAAGCAAATACATATAAATTTACAATGTCGCAAGCACGTTGTATAAAAATTAAGAAATTGTCGAACAGCAGTTCATCAGGCAAGCATTTTCGAAGAAAAAAAACATAACCGAAAGTGAAAGCAGATTCTCAAGACGTTCCATCCTGCAATTAGCAAATCCATAGCAAAAATGAAGCACTACGTAGTAAATAATTAGCAAGGCAGGTTGGAAATAATCGTGCGAGAGTTTGTTTGAAGGAAGAACGGTATGGTTGTTTTTCAGGGAGGGCGAGGGTGGCGGCGGTGGCGGCCGTTCCGTGACCAGCGCTGGTGGGGGTGGAGGAGGAGGTGGAGGTCGACGGGCACCGAGTCTACGACTGGTGAACGGAAGAGCGACCACGGGGGTTAGTTTGCACACCAGCAGCACAGAATCCGTTCGTTCACCCCATCACCACCTCGGCCAGCAGCAGGGCGGCAACAATAACAATAACAACAACAACCATAATAATAATAACAACAACAATAACTGCCACGCCGGTAATAACCCCGCCGCGAACAATCATCCACGGCTTAACAAAGATGACAGCATCAAGATCAGCATCGAGAACACCAACACTTGCACGGACAGCCTCGTCACTGCTCTAGACGACGAGACATTGCTCATCACCGATTTCGTAGCCGATCAAGGTCAGTCTTTTGTCACATTTCCTGCCTTCCCCAACCTCCCTTTTTTTCTCTCTCTCTCGTTGAAAGTTTGCCGCAAACATCGCTAAAGATAATATTATTAATGTTGTATTTGTGATATAATGTTAAAGATGATATTATTAATTATGATGTTATATTACGCAACAACGCGTGGTGTTTTGACAGTGTTTGAATCCGAGAAATGATACGAGATATATTTCGGTCGCACGAGGCTAAATTTCTGCATACGGGTATAAATAAAACTCGTGTCGCTGTCCTTCTTTAATTTCAGCTGTCTTTTATTTTTGGAATTTAACTTCCATTGAACAATCGATTCTTTTTCGTTGAATTGAACGGACAATTTAGAAATAATCGACGACACATTATTTTCGGCGGCGCGAGTTTAAAATAAAATCTACCGCGTTCGTGTTATTCACGGCCGTATCGAAATACGGGAGTTAATTAAAGGACTTTGCGCGAGTTCGATCCTCTGCAGATCTAAGACAGTGCACGCGTGAATTTGTATAGTCAATTTCAAGATTTTCAAGGAGAAATGAAAGGAAAATCGTGGCACATCGAGATTAGGTATCACTCTCGTCCAGCGGCGTTTGGTTACGGTTGAATCTTACCCTGCGCCGGAAATTTAATTGCGCAGCTCGCGAGCACACGTACGTATGCACATACGTACACTTCTCGTATTTCGCGCGAGATCTCTGACGCGTTTTATGAAAAGTTTAGAAGCGCTTGCCACAATCTGAGTGACTAAAATATTACATGCTACCACGTCGTATGATTGCTATATTTTTTTATATAGAATTTCAAAAATAGAAGAAATAATTGCACCAATGTAACGAGCACCCACGTTTCTCTCGTCATCAGTCGCTCGTCCGACGCAACGTGAAATTAAATTTGTGTTTGCAAGTCCAGCCGCGAGTTATTGCATCTTCGAAACGGTTTTAACCTTCTTTTTGCCGTACCTATGAAACGATGCTCCGTCATACTTCCAAGGTGAGGGCAGCGGATGAGTCGGAAGAATTAATCGAGAGGATGTTCCAATTACAACTGCTCCAATTAACCTGACATTTCGAAATAAAGTGGAAACTAAAAATGTAAAGTCGAATCGAACAAAGTTGGCCCGTCACAACTTTCCTCTCTTTCTTTCTTTCTTTCTTTCTCTCGAGAAACGCGGAGAATTTCTTTTCACAGGAACGTTTGCTAAACGTTTAACATTTGTTAAAAAATCTGCGCAATTTTATTTTTCTTTTTTTTTTTCTGTCGCCATTTGAAAGGGAAAAGCAACAGTCGAAAACACGGTGATTAAGGTGACGGCTGGTGGAATGTTCGTATCGAAGAGATTTCAAACAAGAAACACGAATTCGTCGCGTGTTCGCGCGGGGAAATACGAAACGGCGTAAGAATGCTGGCCGAATAAGCCGTTTGTTCGGCCGACAAATGCTAGTAACGAGCCCATTATCGGTTGTTGCAATATAGAAAAGCAATCGGGCCGGCCGCACATTTAGTTGCTGTGTTTACGACCACCTGACAACGAGAAGAAATGAAATTCCCTCCGCTTCGACGAAATTTATTTCCTCCTTTAAACACTTCGCTGTTCGACCTCTCGCTCGTCTCAATTTTTTAATCAACTCCTCTTTCGCAACTCAACCGCACGGTTAGAGAAACTAATTGTTCCTTTTAAATCTTTGAAAACTCTGAAACTCGAAAACTCGAAAACTGTAAAACTCTAAAACTTTGAAACTCTGAAACTCTGAAACTCAAAAACTCGAAAACTCTAAATCTTTAAAACTGTAAAACTGTAAAACTCTAAAACTCTAAAACTTTGAAACTCTGAAACTCTGAAACTCAAAAACTCGAAAACTCTAAATCTTTAAAACTGTAAAACTGTAAAACTCTAAAACTCTAAAACTTTGAAACTCTGAAACTCTGAAACTCAAAAACTCGAAAACTCTAAATCTTTAAAACTGTAAAACTGTAAAACTGTAAAACTGTAAAACTGTAAAACTGTAAAACTGTAAAACTGTAAAACTGTAAAACTGTGAAACTGTAAAACTGTAAAACTGTAAAACTGTAAAACTATGAAACTGTAAAACTCTAAAACTCTAAAACTGTAAAACTCTAAAACTCTAAAACTCTGAAACTCTAAAACTCTAAAACTTTAAAACTCCAAAACTCCAAAACTCCAAAACTGCAAAATTCGAAAACTCCAAAACTCTGAAACTTTAAATAATTTAAAAATTTTTAAGAAAAGGGAAACTGAATCAATTGAATACCAAGGAACGAGAAACTCGAATACAAACAGATCTCGTCGAGTAAAAGCGTCGAATCGCGAAAACCGCTAGAATCATTCGTTCCGCGAGAAGCGGTAAAGCATTATCGGCTGCGTGGTGATTCGTCGGCGAATATTTTTCCAGATCCAGCAATTACGGAACTGCCATTAAATTACGCTTAAACGTGAGTCACGCGTTTGCCACGGTCGACGTGTCTTTTGTCATTCTTGACGCGTTCGTGCATTGTTCGACTTGCAGCTTTGAAGGAATTCAATTAATGAAGCCGAACGTTTTCTCTATTTGTGAAACGAGATGTTTGACCGGAAACAACGAGAATCACCGGCGGGTTAAGATTGAAAATGTTTCTCGCCCTCTTTGTGAAAATACGTTAATTACGTGAAATGAATGAAGTTAAATGAAACGGAAAGTTTATTAATTTCGCCTTTGTCAAAGTCAATGTTTAATTTAGAAACGTGTGTATGTATACGTACGCAAGATATATAAAATTGATGAAGGTATAATAATAGACGACTGTGTCGGACGTGTTTGCGCCCATTGACGAGCGAAGTGTTTCATTTCATAAAATAGCAAAAAGTTCCAACACCCACGATCGAGGGGAATTAATTATTCGTCTATCGTCTCATTATCACACGCACGCTTGCGCGTAATTAAAGACCATAGAATTTAATTAACTGAGGTTAATTAAATGTTACGCAGCAAAAAGTGGCGCGTTAGAGCGTAGTAAGAAGCGATTATCTCTTTCTCTCTCTCTTTTCTCTCGTCGATTCCCTCTCGGATGAGATAATTTGCCCGCTCCTCGTCTCTATCAGGCAAATTATCTGTCGCGAGGCTCAGTCCTACAAAGACACCGGAAAAAGAACATTTTGCCACGGTAACACCGGCTCGGTCTCAAATGTCGCGTTATAGTCGTTCCACTCGCAACGACTAATTTCCAAACGAACGTTCCTTTCGCAACGCGAGAATCTCCCAGAACTCTTTCGACGAGCCTCACGCTGTTCGTGAAAATCGCCTCCTTCTCCTAGTAATCGCTCGAAACCGATCCTCGCGTCGATTTTATAATTTTATGCACGAACGGAGCGCTGAAAACTCGGGATTTTCTCAAGTTTTATCAGGTCGTTGAATGTTGTTTTCTTTGATTGTTGAACTTTCAGAAGTAAGATATGTTCAACACATAATATTATGCACAGTAATAATAATACAGTACATTACAGTATATTACGGTTATAATATAATAATATAATATATTACAACTACATTTTAATAAATTAATATATTACACTTACATTCCAATAAATAATACAATATATTACACCTTGTAAATATTTTAAATATCGGAATTGCACTCTTACACGAGTGGAGAAGAGAAATTGATCAGCTACGTTTTTCAAGAATAAAAAGAAAAAAAGAAAAGGAAGTAATTTACCATCAAACGAAACGATCAGGAAATTTAACTAGTGTGTAGAGTTTCAACAATTTCTGCGCGATTTACTTCTTAGCAAAAGTTCGAAAAGTCAAACTTTCACGTCAAATCGAGGACTGAAATCCAACTGCTCCAACTTCTTCCCCAAGGTTCAATCACCCGAAATATCTCGCGTGCAATGATTCTGAAAACTGGTCTCACCTGCGAAACCGCTAACAAACACACCTGCACGCTGCAGCCCTGAGAACGCTCTCGAGAAACACCCTTGCATCCTCGACTTGAGTCTCACCGGGCGTGTCTAATTTCTCTCGCGCGGCATCCGGTCGCCTCTGAAGAATCGCACGCTCGAATTTCTCAAGCGTCCTTCACTCTCGCGAATCCGCTCCGACCGGATGAGATTGGAAAGAATTTTACCTCGGTCTCTCTCGTTGTTAAGGACAGTCACGACTGGTATCGATCGTGTACATCTGCGTATACTCTTTGGGACTCGAAGGACCGTCATTCCCATGATTGATCTTGCGACCTTGACTTCATCGTGCAGTAAGCCCGATGGCTTCTACTAGATTCCTGCTTGTTGAATATTAAAAACTGTGATTTCTCTCTCTATTGAGTACTACTTGTAAACTTCCTTTTGAATATTTCATTTCCTCCAAGTTCTCCTTCTTTTTTACCTTGGATTACTCTCTCCAAAGGAGAGGTTTCGAAGCGGGAAGTGTGTTAGAATCGATCAGGAATTATGGGGGAAAATTTTCAAAATTGAGAGTGGGATGGCGTTTCTGAGGACGATTGTCTTCTGAAAATTATCCCTATGTTGCTTATATCAGAGGTGGGTAACTGGCGGCCTTTGTCCCTATTTCTCTGAGCGTTACCCCCTCCACTGCATCGATCTCCCCACTTGCTCAGTAGTGGAATCAACAGACTGAGAGAGTGGGGGGCAAGGAACGACGCAGTGGAGGGAGTAACGCTAATAATCAGGACCGCCAGTTAACCACCTCTGGCTTGTATATCCTTCGAGTACACACGTGTTTATGACGTAGCAACCCTATGATGTAAAAGATCTCATCGCTTGAGACTGACTAATTTTATAGAGCGCCTAGTTTGGAGCTTTCTAAGTGGTCAGATTCTTGATTTGCTACGTTAGGTTGGTATGTATTACACTTAACACTCGTCGTACTTGTTACGAACTTAGGTACTTCGTACATGTGAATTTTATCCAACGTACTTGAAACACGTCGAATCAGAACGTCATAACGATTAGGCTAAAGGAAAGAAAAAAAGTTGAATTCTTTCTTGGAATCTTTTCGAATCTCTGTTCTTGGAGGTAGTATCAGTTGTGCAAATCGTATTCTTCTTATAGACAGTGAAAGTAAACCTGTTCACGAGAGACGATGCATCGTTGACGTTTTATACGCTTTTAAATTTATATGCTACAAATGAATGAAAGAATTCCCTGACATTTAAAAGCTGATGACCCCTCGGTGAGAATCGCCAGAGTCGAACCACCAGTGAAGAATCCTAATCTAAGGAAGCTTCAACATCGATTTTCATCTTCGAGGATAGGAAAGTTACGTTATCGTAACCTGCGTTCCGAACGCAAAGTTAAGCGAGACGACGCCAATCGTCCCTTATCTGGAGTGTACCCGAGTAAACTGTAGCCGAGTATCGCGTCATCTCGTGTTATCTGGCAATGTTAGATTACTGCGAATGACAGCTGTTTCGTTTGCAAGGCTAGGCTATTCAATTTCTTATTTTCTACTTGAATATTAAAAATGATCTTGTTCGTTGCGTTTTCTTCGCTAAACGTCGCGTCTCCTAAACTTTATTCTTTATTAGCCTAAATTTACTGTCAAAAGACGACAGAGACGGATCGTTTTGATACAGATAGTGTTATCGATAGCTACTGGAGCTACTCTCATTCACGCACGAACCGATCTGTTCCAAATTAAATAAAATGTAAGAAAATCGTGACGAGATATGCATCTGTAGATATGGACACTATGGATCTGTCTCAAATTTATAAAATAAATAAAATAAATCAAAGTAAATGAAATTTATAACATAAATAGATAAAATAAAATGCCAGAAAATATGTGGGAACATAAAAACAAAGCAACGACACACGTGTCTATAGATATCTTATGCAATATGGATACTGGCTCTCGACAACGCACGAACCGATCTGTCCCAAAATTTGTAAAATAACCAAATAAAATAAAACGCCAACGAACATCATAACAACACGGAAGCAAAGCAACGACATACGTGTCTATAGATATCTTACGCATTGGCTCTCAACAATGCACGAATTATAACAATAAATAAAATAAATTCATAAAATTCACGAAACAAATAAATAAAGTAAAACTGGAGAAATATGTAAGATAAAACGCAAGGAAAACCGATGGCAATCGACGACACGCGTCTGTAGATATCTTATGCACTGGCTCTCAACAATGCACGAATTATAACAATAAATAAAATAAATTCGTAAAATTCACGAAACAAATAAATAAAATAAAATTCGAGAAATATGTAAGATAAAACGCAAGGAAAACCGATGGCAGTCGACGATATGACACGTCTGTAGATATTTTACGCTACGATATGAACAGTGGCTCTCAACAACGTGCGAACCGATCTGCCCCCCCCCCCCCCTAAATTTCCCAATAAATCAACGAACGAAACAAAACGCCAGAAAGAAAATGGTGGCAACGTAGAAGCAAAGCGTATCTCGGCGCCTGTAGATATAGACACGGGACGAGACAGATGGAATAATCATTGGCGATCTCTGGTGGAAGGGAAGCTCGGGTTCTCCAGTGTCAAGGTTGACGGGCGATTGTCGCGCGGAGGATTTACACGCGTTGTCGAACGAGAGCCGCGTGGAAAAGAATCGAACGTCGTCGTCGTCGTCGTCGTCGTCGTCGTCGTTTGGTCCCACAATAAAACCGGTCAGTTCTCTCGAGCCTCGTTTTTCTCTCTGTCCGAACCATCGCGTGGCTCGTTCGTTTCTGGCCTGTTCCCTCTTTCTTCTTTCTGCTGGGTTCCGTTGGCTGTGGCGGCGATGCCCGGTTGGCTGGCTGGCTTTCGCCGGGGCTCCCGGTCGCTTCTTTTTCCTCGTGTTCTGCTCGTCATTAGTCAACCTCTGCATCGGGGAGCAGTTACACGGTAAACGGAGCAGATCGTGATCGTTCTCGCAATCCTCTCGAAGGCCGGGCGATGGCCGACGACCACAAAGATCCGACGCGCGACAGCCGCGAGATCCACGAGCAGAGAACGCCGCTGTTGATGAAGGAAACACGGCTGGGTGACAAGGGTTTGTCCTCTGTTCTCGTCTCCAGCTGGCCTGCGTTGTCGCTGCACGCTCGAGCAACGTCTAAATTCGGTGAGTCTTGCAACCCAGGAATGCCAGAACGGTCGAGGATTAACCTTTCTCCTCGAAGGTTAGGCTGCCACGTTAGGTTTTCTCGATCCTTAAGAGTTGCTGATTTCTCTGAACTGAGAAATCTTCGCACGTTTGTGCAACATTTGTCGCACATCCTTGAATATTTTTCTTTCTTCTTTTCATAATTAATATTTGAAATATTCTTCGAGTATTTCTTCACGATTAATATTTAGATCTTTGACAATTTTTCATAATTAATATTTAGATATATTTTGAGTATTTTTTTTCATAGTTAATATTTAAGTATCTTTGAGTATTTTCCTTTTTTCTTTTCATAATGCAAATTTAGATATTCGGATAATGCCCTGAATAATTCGTTTTTAATTGTGAAAAATTTTTATACGTGATCGTGAGGCTATAAAACAGACGTAACGCTTTATCAATGCACACCAGTGTTTGTCTTTTATAGTTTTTGTAATTTTTGGAATTTGTTTCGTTGATTTTCATTGAAAATTCTCGCACGATGAGAACTGGTGTTATTGAGTTTTGTTTCATTGATTGTACAATTCTTATATGAACGTGATAAACGAAGCTCATTTAAAAGCCAAAGCTGTCACATTTTCTTGCTTTCTGCGTATAACGTGATTTATTTTGATGACTGTTTATCAGACGATAACCAGTTCCTTAGCTGAGAAACTATTCTTGGCAATGATGGCATCGATTCTGCTTTAACAATAATTTGAAATTCACACGCCATTGAAATTACCACTTACCGTCACGAATTTATTGACAATTCTCCCGGTTGAACACAGACAACACTTTAAAACTGTTATTTCTCAAGGATCTTCAATAGTTAATCCTTCACTCGCGCTTAAATTTTGACACTGTCAAAGTTGGATCCAAACGACTAACTTGTGTAGTTTTTATATTCATAATTTATGATGTGTATTTTATGATTTTGTAATTTATAACTTATATACTTTATACACTTTCATTGTTACATATTTTTATTAATCTATCATTCATAGTTTAGATATTGCACGGACGTAGAACTTGAATATTTACTTAAATGTTCTTCTCGTAAAAATGTATCCGTGAAATCTTGTGTATCGCAAGAAATTTCGAATTTCATCTCACATTAATGTCTTCGACGGAAGTTCGATAAAAATTCTCTCACGAACTGTACACCGATAGACCGGAAGATCGAAGAGAATTCTCGACGAGATTTCCAATACTACTTATCGTTGCTTCGCCTAGATTCCTAGCTTCCTAGCTTTTTCTTTTTACCAGCGTAACGAAAGAACAAACAGTTAAATACAGTCGGTTATCTCCGTCGGTTAACTGTATTTAACTGGACTCCGTGAGGCAAACGGTGCTTGGTAATTTTTTTACGTTTCGCGCGTACATGCTCCGACAGAGCGGATGGTGCGTACCGATGGTTGGGAACTGGAAAGGAAGGTCGATGAGAGAGATTGGAACGAGCTCGCGTGCTCTTCGACACGCCGGAATGGGGATATTTCGTGTGGAATTTCTTTCTTTTTTCTTTTTTTTTTTTTTTCGTTTTTTAGTAACCGAACTTAAACGTTCGTCGGAACGAAGAACGTTCGTGGAATGCTCGTTGCTAGCCAATGATTACGCGAGCAAATTGCCATGTTCAATTGGAAATTGTCGATTATTACAAGTTTTCAATCCACCGATTACGGAAATCTGAAGTCGATTGAATTTATTGCACATTGACAGAAGATCGAATCGTACAGATAACTGTGGTGCAATTAGGATGGTAATTGATTGTGTTTGACGCCTGGACGCGTTGACGTTGAAATAACATTCAATCGAATTATCTGATACGTTGATGATAGCGTATACACCTGTGTGTAGCGTATATTTAATTCTTTCTGCTAATTTTTAAAATGCAATCTGTAAACTGGCATCATAGAGTGAACTCCAACATCAATGACAATTTTCTGAAGAGAGCAATTTGAAAAAAGAAAATTCTACAACACTCGTTTCTATTCAGTAGGAATAAATCCGATTTTGAAAATTGCACGGTTTCCCTTCGAGGCAAAGTGAACTTCGTTCGAAATATTTTTCTTCCATAACGAATGATTCGAGAGATGATTGCCCGGAACGTTTCAAGTGGGACACCCTCTGTGTAACTTTCAGACGCGTAATCCTAATCGCAATGCTTGATAACTCGAGCAACGAGCAACTGAACTGAAGGACACGAGTCAATATAATATAATATAATATAATATAATATAATATAATATAATATAATATAATACAATATAATATAATACAATATAATACAATATGATACAATATAATACAATATAATACAATTTAATAAAATATAATACAATATGATACAATATAATACAATTTAATAAAATACGATACAATATAATACAATTTAATAAAATATAATACAATATGATACAATATAATACAATATAATAAAATATAATATCATACATATAAATTACAATACAATACAATACAGTACAATATAATACAATATAATACAATATAATACAATGCAATACAGTACAATATAATACAATACAATGTAATACAATATAATATAATATAGTATAATATAATATAATATAATGTAATACAATACAATAAAATATAATATAATATAATATAATATATAAAACACACATACACACGATTAAACGATAATAATGTTGCTTTGCCTTGCCTTGCAGGCAACGAGATGAATTACAAGGGCAGCGGGAAGGTCCACTTCGGAGTGGACGATGTGTCCCTCTACGGGACGCCGAAGGAGGAGCCGGGCCCGGGTCTCCCGGGCCAGGAAGTGAAGCAGAGCTTCTTGAAGAATCAGCTTCAGGCCCTGTTCCAACCGACGGACAACAAGCTGGCTATGAAGCTGTTCGGCAGCAAGAAGGCTCTGATGAAGGAACGGATCAGGCAAAAGGCTGCAGGTCACTGGGTTATCCATCCTTGCTCCAGTTTTCGGTGAGTCCTTCCGCCACGATATCAAATCGTTTCACCTTCACGGCCAGCCAGATATCGATCGTGTCTCGATTCTTCGACTAGTTGGTTTCTAGCTGTATCTTTGCCCTCCGCTAAGAGTGTTCGCGTTTTTTTTTTTTTTTTTTTTTTTTTTGTTCTATGGGAAATACAGCGATTATAATTATAAAGCTAATGAAACATTTTGAATTTCTTTTTACCGCATTAGACCTATCGGATTTATAATTTATAATTTTCTAATTTTCTAATTTATAGTTTATAAACTATGTTTATAAACTATAAATTATGTTATGTTTATACGAAACGTTCGATATATAATTTATAATTTTCTAATTTTTCTAATTTATAGTTTTTAATTGTGCTGGAAAATTATATTATTAATTCTTTAATTTTCTTATTTTCTAATTTATAATTTTTAATTGTGCTAGAAAATTGGGAAATTGTAGGAATCTCGGCTTGGCCCCCCAATTTGTAGGAATTTGGTTAAAGGATAGTTGTTTATTTGAGGTTAAATAAAAGAAAATTTGTTTAATGATGATTATAAAGTGACGTTTTACACTATTTTCTTAATTGCTAAACTCGCTGGACACGCAACACTAAACTCACTCTCTTCTTTCTCTCTCTCGCAACTCTCAACTCATTATTTTTTTTTTTTTTTCACGGCTCGCTCACTCTGTTCTTTCTGGCTTCCCGACACTCACTGCCTTCTTCCTCATCTGCACAAAATTCTTTCATACACACATACACACAAATGCATCCATAGCCTTAATGTCTCAAACGCTAGGCCTGGAGGGCTAGCCATAAGCAATCTCAAGTCCCAGGCCTAACTTTCTCTACAGTACTGTACCTTTATGGTACACCACTTGGGACATCTGCATTTGTCGGGCACTGGAGAGAGTTCTGAGCCTTTTCCAAGAATTTGCCCATCCCACAAAATTGTATTATTAATTTTTTAATTTTCCAATTATTCCATCACACAGTAGAGTAATCGCGAATGATCGCCGTAGAGTCTGTTGTATTACAAGTTTGAGCAATTTTTATGAAAAGTCGTCGAAAGATAGAAGCTCTCGCAATTTCCACGACGATTCTAATCCTTATTTTTCCAGCCGAGACTTCTGGACAAGCCTCGCAAGCCTCATGACGAGATTTTCATCTAAACATAGAAACGTGGTGTAATAATTATTAATAGAAATCTGTCGAAGAAATTCATAAAGGTTATACACGTCACGCAGCTTTCTTTACGCGGTTATTTTTACAGGAAGTTGTTCAACAAAGTGAGGCACACTCGCGTTACGGACTATCTATAGAAAGACACACTCTCGTTGATTGAAGAAGCTTGCGATATTTCAAGGCCGTTGCCTACACTCGTACGCTCGTCTGTCGTTTTTTTTTTTTTTTTTTTTTTTTTTTTTTTGTGAACGTGTTGAACCCATTCAACAATTCTTCAACGCCGTGCGCAAATCGCGCAAACAGGGACAAAAATCGGAAAATGATTCGGAGATTAAAACAGAACGACAGTGTTTCGTTTCGACGATTTGGTCGACTCTTTGCGAATAGAAAATCACAAAGAAGCTGCAAATGACAGGGACAACGTGGCAAAGTGATAATTTCTGGGTCGGATAGAAATCGAATCGGATACCTCCTCGAGGATCGGGTTAATTTGCGTGAAAAGCAGAGCGTAGAAAGAGTTGGAGAGTGTGTTGCAGGCTTTTTTCCCCCGACATTTTCCTTCTTTTTTTTCGTTCGATCTCAAAGCAACATTCCGCGACGATCGTTAACGAGGATTGAATTTGAAGGATCCACACCACTCCTGGCCTGGCCTAATTACCAATTAAAACGTCTAATTAGAGTGGCCCGCCGCGAGAGCAGATCCGAATCAAAACGGAACAGTCGCGCGGTGATCGGCTTTGACCCAGTTCGCCAATCCTTTCGGAGAAAACAATCTGACGTGATGGATCTGGCTAACGTCGAACAACGCACGATCCTATAAACACGCCTGCGGCGATCTTAGGCTGAGATTTGCACTGTACGCTTGCTATCGTCTATGATTGCCCGAAATGTTCCGGCGTCGATGCGGCCATTCAAGCCACGTTTGCTTTGAGAATTTGCAACATTTCAACCTCGCGCGTTGCATGATTCAATTACTTCAATTATTACTCGAGTCGTTTTCTGTTTTTAAGAGAAATGGAATTCCTTTTTAGTTCAACGCGTAGTTATTGGAATAATCTTAGAAGGAATGATTTTCGAATAATCACATTTGTGTAAGTCACTATCACTGTTTCCGGGGAATTTTGGAAAGTTTTGGGACTTTATAGCTCCTGGTCATATCAGCGTGTGACGCTGGGTTGAAGCACATCCACACCTTGACACACTAGAACTACCAAATTGGTCAAAATGACCATTCGAATATTTTTGTTGGATATCTTATAAATACAGAACAGTGTATTTCTTCGAGACTCGAATGACTCCTCTTAAAATAAAATTCATAAATGAAAGCTTATATACCCTATTATGTAATATTATAAAGATTTTATTAATTCTGTTAACAAAATGACCCAGAGTCAGAGTCTCCACATGCCCACTCTTCACTTTATACTGTGTAGGGTGGGTCACCACATATTGCCATCAAGATCAGTTCATGCACCTTGATATTCTTCATAAAAAGAAAGTATTAACCTATTTGTGTTAAAAAAAAAAAATCATTAGTTTAGGTGATATTTTAATTTTAATTTTGCGTGAAAGACAATGGCAGTATAAATATGAGAATACTATCCTTCTTCGACCATGTCTTTCATACGATAATTTTACAAAATTAAAATTAAAATATCACCCAAACTAATGATTCTTTAACATAAATAGGTTAATACCTTTTTGTAAAAAAAAAAAAAAAAAAAACGTTAATGACCTTCATATGTTCTCTACACTTCACACCTACAAGAAAACTAGCATCATCAAAATGTGCTCCTCTCGAAATTCAACTTCATCTGAAACATTTTTCGCTGCGTGTAATAATAATGACGTATAAATCTAGCATGTTGTGACCCACCCGGTACATACATATCTTTATCGAGAGAGAACGAAACCAAGCAACGATATCGCGTGCATTGAAAATTACCGGTACCACAAGCATGTTGCGTACACAACAGACTGCGGAGCAACATTTGGTGACACATTTTCGATTCCAATGGAAATTACGCGTGTTGTTGTAGCGGTGGCAGAACAACGATCGTCGCGGCGTGTATTATGAATGTGGTTATACCGTGCGCGCAGCGGTGGTCAAATGGTCACGCGGCTGTCGAACGGTTAAAATTTCTCCGATGGCACTCCGTCGGCCATGTTGCGAAGAATTATAGATGCTTCGGGGATCCCTGACCTCCGTCTTCCGGGACAGTGTTAAAGCACTTTCTCGTAACGGGGTCGAATTCCTCGTGCGGCTTGGCCAGACCGATCCGAGCAACAGGAATGCGTCCGTGCGCGTGTATCGCGGCATATTTCGTGGAAAGACCGAACAAAGAAAGACATTCTTCCCACAGGATAACGTCATTCGAATCACACGCGCGCGCAGTGGTTCTCATTAATATTTGACGCTAGGAACTATTGATGTTTAAACTATTAAAATATCGAATTTTAAATTGTTAAAAATTTCGCATCGGCGAAATTCAAGCACGAGTAGGGGGGGGGGGAGAAGTTTTTTAACAGGACGAAGAAGACAAACTTTTATCGATGCATTTCTTTCTACGCCGTGTCTAACGTTCAAAAATTCGTCGTTGCGACGTTGTTTCGTGGTTAACGTTCTCACTGCTTTCTTTCGCTTCGAATACCAAATTTTATATATAATAATTGTTGAAAACTGAACGCGTTGGATGGTAGTTGAAAGTTGACTCCAAAATGTCTACGACCTTTCAAAGTATCACGGAACTTTTACTAAATTTCTCGTCTTCTCACTCCATGGCCAAATTCTTTTTTTTTTTTTAGTTCAATATTATTTTCTTTCATTTTAGGTTAGACGTGTATTTTTTCTTTCGTCACAATATTGTAATAAATATTGAAATATTACAATATTGTGATTTGGTAAATTTCTAGTTTAAAAGCTTCTCCCAATTTTGACCATAGACTTTTTTTCCTTTTTTTTTTTTGAGAAACTTTGATTCTTCCGAGTGAAACCAGCGATTCTTTCGAAACTATTGTAATTTCTATGCGAATTATTTTATCAAATCGATAAACTAGGAAAAACGTTCTAGTTTAGCAGTTTTTCTAATTTCGACCATTTCACTATAGAATTTTTTCTTTTTAGAAACTTTGATCCTACCAAGTGATTTTTAAAATTAGGAATTACTATAGTTTCTGTGCGAATGATCCAAATTAATAAAAAATAGTTAAAATTAGGAAAAACTACAAATTTACAAACTCAGACGAAATCACGCGAAGATTCATGCGCGTAATACTCGAGGAGCGTTTGTCGTGGCAATTGCCTGGAATTGCCCTTCCGCTTGGAATTTTCTTTAATTACTGATAATACGAGGGCGCGCTGTATCCGCGCTTCGACGCTCACGTTGAAATTTTCATTCGAACAGCCGCTAACGATCCACCGGCAGCGCCTGCTATCTTTCGTCCATCGTTGACCGCGAGGAGCCGAGGGAATCTTTCAATTATGCAGCCCCTCGACCGTCCTAATTTCTAATCGTTCATCTGAACGAACGTGGTGGCTAACGATGATTTGCCCTCGATTTTTCGAACGAAATTTGGCATCCCAGTCTTCGCCGAGGTGAGAAGAGAGATTTCCGAAAATTGTGGAGAAATCTCGACACTTGAGGAGAAATTCTAGACTGTGATATGGAATGATATAATTTTCCAAGTAGTAGATTCTTTTCTCCCATTCGTAATATACAGAGTGATTCGCGCAACTTGCACATCTAAAGTAACTTTTAAATTATGCTATGTCCAGTGAAAATCATACGGTTTCAAAGGAGGCGAAATATCAATCC